GTGAGTTCCATTTATGCCTTTCTCTCTTCCTCCCCCTCCTCCTCCTCCTCCTCCTCTTCTTCCTCCTCCACCTCCTCCTCATCGTTGTCAACTCCAATCCCTCTTTCTGCCCTTCACCCATCTTCCCAGACACTCTGGGACTTCCTAAACACTTTCCCTTGTTTCAGCTCTTTTCTGGAATGGGTCACCACAGAGCTCTTTCATGGCACTTTCTAAGACTTCATGCCTGAGGAACTTGCCTTTTGCATTTTCATTTTCTTCTCTCTCTTTTTCTTCCCATGAAGGCAATAGTCCTTTGTGATGGCTCATCCATGTTTCTGGACTTCCTGCCCTTCGCAGGAAAGTTGTGTCGACATGCTGAGCTGATCCCCCAATCCCACACTCGACCTTCTCTTCAACCAGGGACACTTGCTCAGGGTGCCTCGGTCCTCTGTCCCATTTGGGACCCTCTATACTCAACCTCTTCTCTGCCTGGGGATGCCTGCTCAGGGAGCCTGTGGTCCTACATCCCTCATGAGACTTTCTACAGACAATTCTTGCCTTCAGCCTCCTCTCAGTCTCAGCATCTCTCCTCTGCCTCATCCCCACTATGGAGAACAATCAATCCTCTTGCCCTCATATCTTCATCCCTTTTGGGATTTTCTATGGTCGATTCTTGACCTCAGTCTTCTCTGAGTCTTGACATCTCTCCTCTGCCTCATTTTAACCATGGACAATGTTTTCTCTTTTTCCCCCTCTGCCACACTTCTGTCCTCATTTGTGTCAAGTCTGTCCTCTGCTCCCCTCTTAGTCTCATAGAACTCAAACCCAAACATCTCACCTTCCTCTGCCAGACTGCTTAACCCTTCTATACGCAAAACAATAGATCAACTTGGCCCCCCAAAAAAGTACACTTAACTTTAATATCCTCCAGGATTTAAACAACTCTTATCAATGCAATGGAAAGTGGTCCAAGGTGCCCTATGCCCAAGCATTTTTTTGCTCTTTGCAACCCCTGCTCCTTCTGCACCATCCTTCTCAGACCCATCTGACCCTTCACACTGCCAAAACCCTTCCTGAGAATCCCACTGATTTTAATATCTCTCATGCTCTCACCCCCACCACATCCACAAAGCTCCCCTTGTTCTCCACTGCTGGCATCTTCTCCTCTAATCTCTGTTTATTTTCCCCCTCTCTGATCTCTCATGTATTTTCCAGTGTATAACATCCTTTGCTGTATGTGCATCCATACAATTATAGGAAAAAGCTTAATTCTCCCTTCCACTCTGTTCCCTCAACAAAAGGTTAAACTCCCATTTTATTTCCCAAGCAACACCAGACATTTAGACTAAATTCAAAAAGTAAGATCTTGGTCCTTAATCCCCCCAGGGAGACTTCTTAGATATGACTTTCCATGTCTTCAACAATAGACAAAAACCACAAAAACAGAACAACCTTAAAAAGGTTGCATTATAGGACAACGTTTTTTTTTTAAAACAGCTGCATTCCAAGCTAAACTCTGAGGCCAACTTCTGGCTGCAGAGGCTGCAGTAGCAGCAGCCGCACTTGGAGCTCAACGTAAAACACAGGCCAAATAACCCAAGCCCCTCCCATTGTGCTTCAAATGTGTGGCAGAAAAATGACACTGGATAGGAGCCTACCCTGACCTGCAGCCACAATGGGAACTCGTCCCACCTGCAACCAAGAGGGCAGAGCGGGTAAGTCATCATCTTCCTCTCCCTCACAGGATAAGACACTGCTGATCTGTTCAGCATCACTGTTGAAGAGGATTGGTGAGACTCAGGACCCACAGCCCTCACTGAGGTATCTTTCAGAGCCCTGAGTCTCACTGGACATTTTAGGTAACACCCTCTCTTTTCTTGTTGATGTGAAGGCCAATGTTCCCAGTCTTCAGTTTTCACTGTGGAAATTGATGGCCAATGTAAGCGACCTCCCCAGACAAGACCTGCTCCCTGCAGATTCCAAACTCTTTATACACAACTGTCTTATTATCTCAACCTGTCCTGTACCTCTTTTTGATGAAAAACTATTCCAAAAACTCAGTTACTCTTATACTGCCTCTCTCCCCATGGTTCTCATATTCCAATCATAACCATTGTGTGCCCCTGTCTTAGCCCCTTCCTCTTCCCTCCTCACTCATCAACCTTACAGTCCAAGACACCTCCATGCCACCCACGTTACTCTGCTGTTAATTTGCCTCAAACTCCCCCTCAGTCTGCCTTTCTGCTCCCTAATACCCAATAGCTCCTAAACTTCAGCAGGAGTTCAAACCTATAATCCACCACATGTTGACTAATAGGTTTCAAAGGTCACTCACTTACCTTATGACACCTCATTCTCCCTATCCTCAAATCCAATGGTTCCTATTGCCTAGTCCAAGATCCCAGAGCTATTAACAATGAGATAATTCCAATTCACTCTCTGGTGCTAAACCCTCACCCTAGACTGTCTCATATTCCTACATTTTTCACTGTTCCCTTATACCCCAATTGCCAAAATTTCTTTGCCATCTACCTCTATCATAGATCATGCTCAGGTTTCTGGCTCTGCCTTCCCCTTCAGTTTCTCTTTTGAGCTCCTCTCTTGGTTCTCACCATTCCTGGGCCCCCTTCGCAGGCCTCTGCATCATGCTCATGCTCATACCATGTCTCATCTCCCTAATCCACAACACAGTTACAAAAGTCACCACCCAAAATGTGCTTGAGCTGCAAGAAAAGAAACTTCCCAGAACTGTGCCAACTGCAAAAGTCAACCCTGCCCAGGAGGGCACCTGATGATACCATATCACACTCTGTTGCTCCACCTGGCTCACTTGCAGAGCCCCTCCCTAAAGCTCTTTCCCCAAGCCAAATGGTGGCTGTCTTGGTCTGAAAGTCTACCCCCTGCCCAGTAAAGCTTCTTTCTCATGGCAGAATCTCTGGTCTGGCTTTGTATGGATTCCACCATCATAGAATTTGGTACTAGAGAAATGAGGTCACCACTGTGACTATACCTGACCATGTGGTTCAGGAGCCTTGGCGATTGGCTTGTGGGAAGACTTTAGAATGGTTCAGAGATGCTGGCTGAAAGAGCACTCCAAGATTAACTGAGGTGGTATTTTTTTTTTTTTTTTGGTCTTTTTTCATTTTTTATCGGTACCGGGGATCGAACTCACGACCGCCTGCTTGCAAGGCAGGTGCTTATGCCACTGAGCTAAACCTCCAGCCCCCTGAGGTGGTATTTTATGGGAACTTCTGGGCAGAGTTAAGAAGAACAGAATTGTGATAGAAATGTTGCTGTTAAACATCAGAAGGTTTCTGAAGGGAAAGAGGACTACATTGACTGTTGGACTCCAGATGATGTGTGTTATGGCTTGGCACACAGCTTTGCTGCATTTTATTCATGTCCAAAGACTGCATGAAACTGAGGTTAAGGATGGCAGATTAATTAATCTGTCAGTAGTTCCAGTAAAGCTGTGGACTGCAAAGATAGAGCTGAAGAGATCTTGATTGCTAAGAAGGAATAGAATGGAAAATGGCCTGAGGGCATCATGAAAAGCCCTCACCCAAGTCTCCACCCTTTGTGGCCTCAAAACTGCAAAAGTGAAAGGATTTGTTCTGAGGAGAAAGTCACAGAGCACCATGTTCTAAAATGGCGGCAGCCACACTATGTTGTAGAATGATGGCAAGTGCCAACACCAAATTTCAAATGGTGGTGGCCATATCAGATTTCAGAATGGCAGCAACCTAGAGAATTTGTTCATTAGAATTGGAGTAGAGTGCCCAGTGCTTCAGGCACTCAATCCTTACAGCCAAGAGAGAAGATATCTTGACTACTACTCTAGCTGGAAGCAGACCTTGGTTTTGAGACACACTGTTATGATCTAGGCCTTAAACTTCATTCTGCTGAGGCCTCAGAGAAGAGGAGAACTATAGAAACAACTTCAGTATTTTCATTAATTATTTAAGTGTTCATGATTAGAATGTTGACAGAACCATATGCCTCTGGACATGGAAATTAGGGATGTGTTATTATAAACTAATGAAAAAGCAATAATTGTTATAAAGTAATAGAGAGCAATAAAGACTCAGTTATGCTCACATCCTTGTGTTTTGTGGAAGGTAGCGTTATGACTGATAGAAAAATGTATTTGGTGAAAGAAACATTTAAGAGGTCAAGGTGCAATACAGCTTCTCTTGGATAGTAAAATATGAGAAGACAAAAGTTGATTAAAGATGGAAATTATAATCAAAGGAAAAATACAACTTAAGTATTTAGAACAGTCTAAGCTTGCGAGTGCTAGCCCTTTCGTGGTCACCATTCTATTGGCAGAGGGATTGAATTATAAACCTGAATCTGGATCATAGGCATCTGGATTTATTTACCTGTCTACTATCAACAGTACAAGAAAAACCTATAAAACCCAAAAACACAGGCTAGGGATATAGCTCGGTGACACAATGCCTTCCTGGCAAGCACAAAGTGGTGAGTTTCATCCTTGGTAAAATAAAATAACAACAACAATAAATTTACCCACAATTTGGCTAACACCTTGAGCATAAGAAATACCACAATTTGTAAAATGAAAGCAGAAAATAAAAATGATGATCTATACAAATATAGATTTAACCATGGTTTGGTCCAGAGAAAGTTAAATCCTTGTCCTTGCATCTAGGGTGTGAGCAGTGGTGAATGTTTTACCTTCAACATGAGAAACTAAATACATAGTTTATCTTTCTAAAAACTTTACTTCTAGCAGATCCACTCTCACTCTAGTTATACTTAGATTTCTTTATTCATACAAGACACATATCCCAAATAGCATCAACAAAATTCACAAAACATGTTTATACAGAAAAGCCAGTTAACAGAATATGTGAGTAAAATATAGGAACTCTACCTAAGAGGTTGAAATAAAAAGAATAAAAATGAAAAATGAAAAATGGGGGTATGGGTTCAATGAAATTTACAAGTTAATATAAAACTAGAGGAAAGAGGTGAATAAATAAGCTGGTGCTATTAGAGACGTTATCCATTAAAAGATATTTGAGATTGATTCTAAGGACATACACAGCTAGTGTGTTTCATTACAGCTTGAAAAGAAGGCTTCAGAGAATAACTCAGGTATTGTGGTTTATCATTATCATTCCTTCTTTGGCACTGGTTAAAGTCTTACTTGTTGAATTAGAAGTAAGAATCAGGTTATTTATTCCAGAGTTTAGAAGTTTACAATGATAATAATCTTTCTACTTCTTTTGTAATCTCAGAGATTTGTAAAGTTCTGAGGAGTACTTAGACGAGGGTGCATTTTCAGTAATATTTTGCTTAGAAAGAACAGTAAAAAAGAGGGCCAGGGATATGGCTAAGGGGCACAGCACGTGCCTGGCAAGTGTGAGATTGTGAGTTCAATCCTTGGTACAAAAACAAAACAAAACAAACCCCCCAGTAATGGTCACTTGCTGTCTAAATGAGAACACTAAGCTGAAATTTATGTACATTGTAAATTGTTGTATCTGTACATGATAGATTAGTTCTTTTTACATCTCCTCATTCTTCCCTCTTTATTCCACAGTCCATCTTTGGTCTTCCCATTTGCAAAGATCTTTCTTCCCATTTTCTTTTATCTCTCTTTTATTTTGCTCTTTATGCTATGGATTTCTCATATGAGAGAAATTATATGGTATTCAACTTTTGTGTCTGATTTATTTCACTTCAAACTGTATTTTTAAGTTGTATCCATTTCCCTAAAAATGGCTCAGATTTATTCTTCTGTATAGAGGACTAGTATTTGATTATGTATGCACACCATATTTTTATCCATTTGTCTGATGGTGAACCTATATTCTGCTTCCAAGATTTAGCTATCATGAATAGCTATACTGTAAACATTGGTGTACATGTATTGTTGGACTATGATGTTTTTAACTCATCCAGGAAGATTCCTAGTAGGAGAATAGCTAGATAAAATGCAATTTCTGTTTTTAGACTTTTGGAGAATCTCAGTACTGGTTTCCATAGTGGCTGTACTGATTTAATTTCCACTAGCAATGGAGAATGGCTCCCTTTTCACCATAGCCTCACCAACATTATTAGTATCATATTTGATGTCTTGGTGATTGCCATGATTTCTGGAATAAGATGAAATCTCAGGATTCTTTTCATTTGCATTTGTCTAATGGTTAATAATGTTGAGTGTTTTTCATGTATTTTTTGAGTTTTAAAATATATTGTAGATACTAATCTTCTATCCAAGTTGTAACTGACAATTTTTCCCATTCTATAGGATCTCTCTTCACTCTGTTGTTTGTTTCTTTTGCTATGCAGAAACTTTTTTAAGCTGATACAACCCAATTTGTTTAATTTGCTGTTATATGTTATACAATTCGAGTTTTGTTTAGAAACTGCCTGCCAATGCCTATGACTTCAAGATTTATAGTTGTTTTATTTTCCAGGGCATAAAATGTTTCTGTTTTAATGTTTAGGTTTCTCATCCATTTTTATTTTAGCTTACTATGTGATGAGAGATAAGGACCTAACTTCAGTTTTCTGCATGTGAATACCCAGTATCCCCACTATTTGATATCTTTCTTCTAGCATATACTTTGGTTAGGTGGTTGAATGTGTCTATTTTTTCTAAGGCAACAACAAAGACAGCTGATTTCTCTTGGCATCTTTATTTCATCCTTTTGACTTCCTCTTGATCTCGACTATAAAATACTGAGGAAGTAATTTTCACTAAACAATCAAGTGAACTATCTGAAGCAAAAGCCATCTTTTAAAATTTTCTCTTATTATCTAGGAGGGACTGAGTAATAAACTTGTGTTTAAGAATAATCTGCTCTTGCCCCTCCCCAACCCCCTGGACCTGGGACAGGGGTGGATCATTGGCTCCCCTTCCCCCTGGACCCCTGGACCTAGGCCAGCCATAAATTATTGTCTGCCTCACCCCTCCTCCTTGATCCTGGACCTTGGACTTCAGTGGATTGTAGGTAACCCTTTCCCTCCACCCAAAAGACCACAGCAGTCCTCTAACCATCAGTAACCCCTTCCACCACCTGCAGAACCTTGCTGGGATGAAGGGAAACTCAGTAACTCCTCATCCACACCAAGGACCTCAGTGGGCTTGCGATAGTGTGGTTAGTTTCTCCCTCAAATACAGGACCACAGTGGGTAAACAGTAGAAGTAGCGAAGTTACTCCCAACTGTAGGACCTTGGCGAGCCTGGCAAGAGTGTGGGTGAGTCCTTCCTCCATATAAAGAAGACTAGTTAGGTTGAGGAGAGTGCTGAAAAGGCATCTCCCAGTTTGGAGGAAATCAAAAGGTCTTATGAGACACCCAGTGACACAGTAGGTAATCACTATAGCCAGGTAGATCTGGTGGCCTGGAACAACCTGAATCATAGTAAGGGTAGAAAATAAGGGTTGACTTACATCAATACTCTTAGGCTAATCAGCCTAGGAAGAATATAGAGCTCACCCAACAGATTATGCAGGAGGAATTCAGATGACTGGTCTTTCCCTTCATTGTGGGACCCAGCAATTGGAGAAACACCAATCACACAGTAGGACCCTAAGATGCACTGCTGACAGTTGAGACTAGTGGGATTGAAAGACTAAATATTAGCCCAAAGGTTAAAATGACAAAACAAAAAAGCAAAATGCAATCTCAAACATCTAGTCCATCAGGAACAAGTACAGGAAGCATTGGAATAGAGGACATTAAAAGTCATACATCTGAAATTTCTGAAAAGATAGCAAGTGAAATAAAGAAACAAATCCATGAGGCTATAGAAGAAATCATATTAGAAATAATATCTCAAGTAAAGAAAGAAATGACAACCTTAATAAATGAGTTGCTCAGCATGGCTTGAGAAGACATAGATAAAGTACAGGAGCATGGGAAAATCATGGAAACTCTAAACAAACAATATAGAAAACAAGTAGAATGGATGAAATAAAATTAAAAAGATATCTAAGAAATGAAAAATTCTAGTGAAAGCTGGTGAAATTGTTTGACTGAAGCTGAGGATAGAATTTCAGACCTTGAGGAGAGGATTGCAGCTAGCAATCATGAAAGGAAAGAAATTTTAAAAAGAACAAGGCAGCACGAAATCACAGCTTCAAGATGATGCAAAGAGAAACAATGTAAGATCCGTAGGTATCAGTGAAGGTGCAGGAGTCAACACAAATGTCATCAACAAACTATTCACAGAAATAATAGCAGAAAATTTCCCAAACAAGGGGAAAGATTCTGATACATAGATAAGTGAGGATATGGAATGCTGAACAGTCATAACCAAAATAAATCTATGCTGATACATAGATAAGTGAGGATATGGAATGCTGAACAGTCATAACCAAAATAAATCTATGCCCAGATATATAGTAATAATAAGGATCCCAGAAGTCCAGTGTAAAAAAAGAATATGAAAAGCTGTTAGAGAAAAGACACAACTCACCTATCAAAGAAGGCCTATTAGAATCCTAGAAGACTTTTCAGCACAAACCCTCAAGATGAGTTTGGAGTGAAGTATTTCAAGCCCTGAAAGAAACAGCTTCCAATCCATATTGATGTACCATGTAAAACTTTCTTCGAAATTTAATGAAGAAATAAGATACTTCCATGACATAGAACAACTGAAGAAATTCATGTCAACCAAACCAACCCTAGAAAGAATACTGAAGGACATAGTATATAGAGATAAAAATGACTACAATTTCCAGAACAACAACAGAAAGAAACCACCAGACAGAGCAAGCAATTAAACAAGGGGGAAAGTAACATGACAAAGTTGAGCCAGTGATATCAGTTATATCTATCAATGTAAATGAATTCAATTCAGCTATTAAAAGAAATAGGTTGAGAGAATGGAGCAAGAAACAGCATCAAACAATATGCTGTATACAACACATCTGAATCAAAAGGAAACTCATAAACTAAAAGTGTAAGGATGAAAAACAATATTCCATGTGACAAGAACCAGGAAAAAGCAAGGGTAGGTATTCTATTTGCAGACAATGTGAATTTCAGCCAAAAATGATCCATAGAGATAAAGAAGGTCACTACACACTTGTCAGGGTAATAATGCAAGAAGAACTAACAATCATAAACATATATGCACCAAACAGGAGCACCCAACTATATATAATGAATAATAATAGATATGAAAAACAAGATAAGCAACAACACAAAGAATTAATGAATCAAAGAGCTGGGTTTTTGAGAGAATAAACAAAATTGGTAAACCTCTAGTCAGTCTTATCAAGAAAAAAGAAATAACTCAAATTCATGCAAAAAGGACTGAAAAGAGAAAAATAACTACAGATCCCATGGAAATCAAAAAGATCATGAATACCTACTTTGAAAATCTTTACTTGTATAAGGTGGAAAAAGCAGAGGAAATGGACAGAGATTTCTAGAAATACATGAACTACCAAAGTTGAATCAAGAAGATATAATAATTTTTAATAACCCAGTATCATTACTAAAATTGAAAATGTGCTGAAAAACTTACCAACAAAGAAAAGCCCAAGTCCTGATGGATTTACAGTTGAATTCTACAAGAAATTTATAGGAGATTTAATGTCAATACTCTTCAAACTCTTCAGTGAAATGGAAGGGGAAACAATCCTCCACAACTCATTCCTGGAGGCAAGTGTTACTCTGATACCCAAACCACAGAAAGACCCAACCCAAAAGGAGAACTATAGGCCAATTTCCCTAATGAACATAGATGCAAAGATTGTCAATAAAATACTGACAAATAGAATGCAGCAAATCATCAAGAAGATTATACATCATGACCAAATGGAATTTATCTCAGGAATGCAGGGGTGGTTTAATATATACAAATCAATAAGTGTAGTACACCACACTAACAGAGCCAAAGACAAAAATTACATGATCATCTTAATAGATGCATAAAAGCTTTTGAGAAAGTCCAACACTTGTTCATGATAAAAACCCTACAGAAACTCAGTATAGATGGTGTCTACCTCAATCTGATAAAGGCTTTCTATGACAAACCAACAGCCAACATTATACTAAATGAATGAAAACTGAAAACTTTCATTCTAAATCAGGAACAAGACAAGGATGTTCACTATCACCACTGCTATTCAATATACTTCTGGAAACATTAGCCAGAATAGTCAGACATGAGGGAAAAATAAATGGAATAAAGATAGGAGAGGAAGAAGTTAAATTATCACTATTTGTAGAAGACATAATCTTCTACATAGAAGACCCTAAAAACTCCATCAAAAACCTACTATGTTTAACAATCTTAGCATTGTAGATAGATACAAAGTCAACATTCAAAATTCAGTAGCATAGAAACAAAATCTCACTGAGAGACAGATTATGGAAATATTGCCTTTCACAATAGCATCCAAAAAGTGAAATACTTAGAAATCAACCTAACAAAGAATGTAAAATACCTATATGCCTAAAATTAAACTACTCTAAAAAAAGGAGATTGAAGAGGATGTTAGAAAGTGGAAGGATATTCCACTTTTGGTTAAAAAGGGTCAATACTGAAAATGGCATACTCCCAAAACTATTATATAGATTTAATGCAATCCAAATCCAAATGTCATTAACATACCTTACATATCTAGAAAAAACATTACTAAAATTAATTTGGAAACAGAAGAAAAACTAGCAAAGGAAATTCTGCAGGAGGCCTCTCAATCCCTGACTTGAAATCATAGTAGAAAGCTACAGTGATAAAATCAGCATTCTACTGGCAAAAAAATAGACCTGAGGACCAATGGAACAGCTTAGAAGATGCAAACACATTTACAAAGACACTCAGCTACCTTATATTTGACAAATGGACTAAACATGTTCACTGGAAGAAGGATAGCCTCTTTAATAAATGGTATTGGAAAATTGGCTCTCCAAATGCTGAAGACTGAAACTAGATCCATATCTATCACTACTCACTAAATTAAAGTCAAAATGTATCATGATCTAAATATTAAAACAGAAATACCTAATCTACTGGAAGACAAGATGGTTAGAAATCTTGGAGACATAGGGTAGGCAAAGAGTTCTTGAACGAAATTCAAACCACTTGGGAAGTACTTCAAAGAATCAACATATGGGATCTCATCTTATTAAAATCTTTTTACACTTCAAAAGAAATCACCAACAAAGGGAAAAGAAAACCCACAGAATGGGAAAGAATTTTAGCGAGCTGTCCCTCAGACAAAGGACTTATATCCAGAACATATAAATAATTGAAAAACATCAAGCCCCTCAAAGTCAAAGACCCATTCCAAAAATGGGCATCTGAGATGAGTGCCCATGTCTCAGATGAAGATATACAAATGGCAAATAAATACATGAAGAAATGTTCAACATTACCTGTCATTTGAGAAATACAAATGAAAGCAGCTTTGGGATTCCATCTCACCCCAGAAACAATGGATGCCATCAAGAAATCAAATTCTCAGTACCCTCCCCCACCCCAAAAAAAGTCACAAGTACAGTATTAGTGGCTGACCTCAATACGCCACTTCCACAAAAAGGACACTAATGATGAATCTAAAGATACTTGAAAATCCAGGAATCCAAATGCAAACCTAGTTTAAGGAAATAGTGGGGAACCATACAAATTAGACTAAAAATTAATGGAATTGAGTCTAAAAAATACACTTAAGTGCTCAAAGAATTAATGAATTGGATAGCTGAAAGAATAAGCTAAGTAGGTAAACATCTAACCAAACTTAGCAAAAGGAGGACCAATACATCAACACAATTAAAAATGGAATGGGTGAAATCACAAGAGACACTGTCAAAATGCAAAAGATTATGAGTAACTACTATGAAAAATTGTACTGTAACATACCTGGAAAATCTTGGAGAAATGGGCAGATTCCCCAAGAAACACATATGAATTACAAAAACTGAAACGTGAAGACATAAAACTTCTGAATAAGCAGTGGAATTGAGTCAGTAATAAAAGTCCTACGAAGTAAGAAAAGCCTATGACTTGATTGCTTCATAGTTAAATTCTACAAGAGCCTGAAACCACCAATACCCTTCACGTGCTTTAAAGAATTTGAAAAGAAAAAAATGCTTCCAAACTCATCCCTGGACTCTAGTGTCACTGATTTCAAAATCAAAACCCAACTAAAACAGAAAACTACAGATCAACCTCTTTAGTGAATGGTATTGTTTCCCTAAGAGATTGTCATCTATTTCTACAATATTTCCCATTTCTTGAATTTCTACTGTAATGCAGATATTCTAGAAGTTTTCCTGTCACCATATTTATTTTGTCTTAATTTTTGAAGGCTATTTTTGTTATATAAAAATTTTTGATTTGCTTATTTTTTAATTTTTATTTACTTTTTTTGGTATCAGGAATCAATCTTAGGACCTTGCACTTTCCAGACAGCTGCTTTTATCACTGAGCTGTATCCCCAGCCCATAGATTTATTATTGTCTGTCTTTCATTGTTTTGGGTAGGAAATAAATAAAACATTAGCCACCATCATCTGTTTCTATTTTCCTTTTGTACTTTAAAAACCTGCTTCATATGCAGTCACTTGGAGTAGTTTGCATTTGTCTTGTCCTCCTTTTGTCTCATTTCCTACTGATACGTCGTGATGCTTTTCAAGAAACTGAGGGAACTTTCAAGAATTATATTTTTCAAATATTTCTCCTGTCCTTATCAATCTAAGGTACCAATCACACATCTGTTGGAGTGTTGGTATTTTCCATACATCTCAAATGCTCTCTCTGTTTATGTTTTCTCTCCATGGCTTACTGTGTATATATCCACCGACCTGTCCTTATATTTGCTGCATCTTATTCTATTTCTTGTCTAGCAATTCGAAGTTCTGGAGCTCTTGTGTGTTTTGATCATAAATGATTCCATTTTATGATCATGAGTTAAGTTTTCCTACATATCTTGTCCATCATAATTTACAAAAATTAATACTATGTATCTTTAAGGAAAATAATTACTGAAAGATTTTCCTTCAGAAAAAAAGAACACCTCTCTTCTCTCAAAATGTTGTAATTAAGGGTCAAATATTATCTATTTTTGACATAGATCTGGGGTTGTTATGGCTTTAATTCAGTGCACTGCTGATTCAGTTTGGGTTTGTGGATTAGGCCTTTTGCATCATCAGCTAATGAATTTCTGGGTAATTTATGTGTTTTATAGACATGTTACTAGTTTTTCACATTGTGACAAATTCTTATTTACAGTTCTTCTGGAGGGTTGCTGGTGGGTTTTCCTGATTCTGTAGACATGCTCCTGACTTTTGGAGTGTAGGAATATTTTTGTCAGGTCCTCTACCTTCCCTTTTTGGAGAATAGTTGGTTTGCTTTAAAAGAAATTTACAATTCTTCAGGAATTTATCTTAGCCCCAGACTGAGAGTATGCAGGCTGTTTTTCCACATATACTGCTATCCAACAAAGAGTTGGGCCTATAAAAAGTTGGTAGAGACAAAGCAAGCCTATGTTTTAACAAGACCAGTGATGTACCACAGGGGTGCTAGTATACAGCAGACAGTCCTCCTAGACTAAAACCCCAGGGCTGCCTTCTAGAAAGTTCTACTTATGTAGCAGCTCCTAGACCTGTTTCATTAAGGTTTAGCAATGAAATAAAAAAGACTTTTGGAAAGTTTTCGGGGAATTATGCATGTGCAAAAAAAGGGGATCCCTATCCCTCCCTTTCTGATCTCAGTTATTCCCAAATGTGCTCCCTTTCTCAAAACCCTAACAGTATCACCTGAAGTGGAAGGAGTGAGGACTGGGCACCATGCTGCCCGGCCACACAGTGGTGAGTGGAAATCTCATATCCAGGTAGGATACTGAAGCAAACTGCCCCAGTTTATTAGGCTACAAAGGGAAGCAAAAGGGTGCAACAGGGTGGTGCATGCTATCCACAGGCTAAATCACACACCCTCATAGCCAGCACAGGGACAAATGTGAGTGAGGCATGTGCTTCTCTTCTACCTAAAAACTTGCGTCCATATATCCATTAAAAGTGTATGAAGGTTTTTGATCATTTATTCTTATTGATCTCTGTAGGAATATCATTGGCAGTTCATAACAATTAGCAGGTTGTAGGAAACAAAATTTTGTCTCCAAGGTTGCTTGTTACTTGGTATAGTTAAAATCATTTTTTTCAGTCTAAGCAAATTAATGAGTTAAAGAAAAACAAAGAGAGAAACCTAAGAAACAGCATGTTATTTTGCAGTCTATCTAGGTTGTTTGGGTATTATGGTGAGAACAGTAGTCACTCATGGTTTTCTTCACATTAACAACAATTTTTGAGAGTGGACTTAATTTTTGAGACTGAGGTTAGAAAAATTTCAACAAGATTTCTCTGCACCTGAAGTCATTCTCAACCATGACTATTGCTTTTTAATTGGGTGAATCGACCATCCAAAGAAATGGAAATCTTTTCTCTGGGAAGAAATACACACATCAACCTTATTTTCAAAAAACTTTATACTCGTTCTTTTGAAACATTCCTCTTTTTTCTCAAATGTTGTGTTGAAGGTTAAGTCTTAGTTTCTGGATATTCTGCTTCTAAAGCTTGGAGATGGGATTAGTTCTGGAGTCGACTGCTTTGTACAGCCAGACATTCAATAAAATGTCTTATCTATATCCTTGTACATCATTCCTATCTATTTACATCTGATATTATAACAGATGGTATTACATTGATACCATTCATACACATTTGCACTGCTGGTTTCTCGAAACTAGTTTCATGGTAACAAAATGTATGAAGTTTACTTTTGTCTTCTAAAAATTTGTTGCACATTCTCAGATATCTTGAACTAAGACATGACAAAAAGATATTTCCTAGATCACCAGAGGGTTAAAAGTGAATCCTAAGAGTTCTAATTTCTGATCTATATCACCATTTGTTAAGCTTATCACTACCATATTTCACGTATATATTTTTTTCTCTAGATATTCCTGGAGGCACATTTGAAGACTGGACCACCATTCCACATTGCAAAATGGTCCAGCTGATAGCCACTCCTCAGAGTGCACTTGTGGATGAGCCAGTGCATGTCTATGTCACAGGCCTAAGACCTTTCCAGGTGGTGTGTCTTCAGGCATCCTTGCAAGATGAAAAGCAGAATCTGTTCCATTCTGAGGCCTATTACAAGGCCAATGAAGCTGGTGAGGTAGATTTGAAGCGTGATCCTGCACTTGGAGGTGACTATGTGGGAGTCCACCCCATGGGGCTCTTCTGGTCCTTGAAACCTGAAAAACTGTTAACAAGATTGATGAAAAGAGACGTGAATATCCCATTCCAGGTCCAATTAAAACTTCGTGAGCCATATTTTCCAGTAAAATATTTCCCTGCCAGTGCTCCGATGGCCACCCTGACTGTGGAAAGGTGGTATGTGGCACCTGGTGTCACTCGGATCCCGGTGAGGGAAGGCCGCCTCCGGGGAGCCCTCTTTCTTCCTCCAGGTGAGTAGAATGACTCCATTTACTGTTACCCTGTGTTTTTCTCTTTTAAATGACTCATTCCTCTAGAAATTTATCTTGAATGTGCCTAATACATATTGTCAACTTTCCCTTCTTAAAATAAATGTTCCTGTTGGATCAGAACAAGCACATGGTAATATTTCTCTGTTAAGTCAAGTTTACCTCAACAGTTCTGGATCTTTTCTAACTGTAGGACTACACATAATCAATAATGGAATTCCTGTGTCCCTGGATCTCAAATCTTTGGACTTGTGTTAAATTTATTTGCAACAAACTCAAGCTAGTTTAGGACCCACATCTTGATATCATAAAAGCCGTATGCAAGCTCTTTCTGGAAGCTCTCTAGTTTTAGTTTAAGCATATAGTATGGTGTTGTTCTCCCAACATGCTAGTGATATAATGAACTAAAAATTTTCAGCAAATAGAGGATGTACAGAAACTTTAATTCCCTTTGGTTAAAAAAATCCTGTTTATTTATTGGATATTTCAATAATTGGGTAATAGAGAGCACTCCCTAATGTTAATGAAATTTACCAGCACGTTCATGGTTTTCCATGGTGATTTCTGCATCCCAGAAAGTGCTTTGCAACATCTATTGGCCAGAGTTTTTAACACTCTTCGGTACCAGGGATCAAACTCGTGATCACGCGCTAGCAAGGCAGGCACTTATGCCATTGAGCTAAACCTCCAACCGCTAATTGGTCAGAGTGTTTTATGGAACTAAAGGAACTAAAATTCATTTCCTAGAAAATTTTAGAAGGCCCAAATTTCATACCTGAGAGTCCCTTCTTTAGGACAAATGCTTTTTCCTAGAAGAGAGTCATTGCCTCATCTACTTCTAGTGCCTTGTTTATTTACTTAAATTGTAGAATGGCAATGGGTTAGAAACTTTGAAATGTTAGGGGTGTGTTCTAGTGATAGAGGGTTCTAAATGCTAAACAACAAATAACTGCCTCCTTTTCCAAATTTACTATGACTCATGCACTTGGTTTTATAAATCTGAATTTCTAATAACAAGTAGTTGGTACATTTAAACACTTTATTTATGTAGGAACAGGATGTAGGTAGCATAGACACAGATACCTCTCATTCTAAAGGTGTGCTTTGTTGCCAGGCTTTCACCTTGGCATAATAGTTTGTTCAGAGTATGCAATTTGTGAACTCTCAATGACATTGAGTGTTCAGGGTCTCTGCTGAGACCCTGACATTTGTTCTGGCTCACAAACCAGAATGAATTTTGTGGGTGGTTGGGTCAGATCTCAAAACATTTCTCGACTCTAACATTCTTTCTAGATATAGGAACCTCACTTTCAAGTGTTCTCCCTTTTTATGCAATTAGAAATAAAGATGCAAAACATCCTTATTTGTTTATTTGAATCGTATGTTTTACCAATATATACTAGCTGTCATTTTCTTTTCTTGTCTTTTTTTTTAATTAAAAAAAGAGAACATAACAAAACAGGTCAAAACAGAACAGTTTAAGCAACATAGTGTTTCACCACAAGACAACCTGACATAATAGTATCTACCATAGTGCCCCTTCCTTGAAATATTTGAGTATACCTTCATATACTATAGTATCAAACACAAAAAGAGAGTGTAAAACCATTCAAGAGAATGAAAGTATTACAGAGTATTCAGAATCAACTAACAGAAAACGAACAAAGGTTACTATATTATCTCCTTGTCTATAAAATATTTTGTTTATACTATCACATATAATAAAATCTAATAAGATACAAAATGATAAAACCAATAGAGACAGAAGAACAAAAACTTGGTGGGACTTCAAAACAAGATGATAATCAGCACTAGCTATTATGATGTCTCTTTTTCTTCAAAATAGCTGTTCATACTAACACAGACAATAAAATCAAGCAACCCAGAATAAAACTATTCCAATTAATGAATTAAAACATTATAAGGCTTCAAAGCAATATAATGGGGGAATCATGATTACCACATACTTTTATGTATTCTTACCACTTCTTACACTAGGGAAACTATTTGGTATTTATACATGTAAGTTTGATGTCTTTAGCTTATGAGTATGGTCTCAAGCTGCATCCATTTATTTACAAATATCTCAATGTGATCCTTCTTTATAGCTGAGTAGTACTCCATTGTATACAAATACCGAAACTTTTTTATCCATTCCTCAGTTGATGGACACTTAGGTTGTTTCCAAGATCAAGGTATTACAAATTGTGCTGCTATAAACATAGGTGCCCATAAATCACTGTGGTATGATGTTTTTAGTTCTTCTGAGAATATGCCTAGAAGTGGAATAGCTGGAACAAATGGGACCTCAAATCCCAGCTTTCTGAGAAATCTCCATCGTGATCTCTACAGTGGTTGCACCAGTCTACACTCTCACCAACAGTGCAGGACAGTTCCTTTTTCCCCACAGCCTCTCCACCATTTGTTGTTGGTAGTTTTCTTGATCCTGGCCATTCTTTCTGGAGTGAGATGAAATGTCAGTGTTGTTTTAATTTGCATTTCTCTAATGAGTAATGATGATGAACATTTTTTCATGTATTTATTTGTCATTTGTATTTCTTCATCTGAGAATTGTGTATTCATCTCAGATGCCCATTTTTGGATTGGATCCTTGAATTTTGGGGGTCTGATTTTTTAAAAATTCTTTATATGTTCTAGACAGAAGACTTTTGCCTGAGAGACAGTTCACTAATATTGTTTCCCAGTTTATAGATTTTATTTTCACTATGCTAGAGATTTCTTTTGATATGCAGAAACCTTTTAATAAGATATGATCCCAGTTGTTGATTCTGAGACGTAGTTCCCATGTGGTTTGATTCTTGTTCATGAACTCTCCACCTACCTCTATGTCCCCAAGGATTTTATCCAACTTGTCTTCCAATACATTTAGTGTTTCTGTTTTAATATTGAGATCATTGATCCATTTAGATTTTAATTTAGTACATGATGATAGGCACGGATCTAGTCTTAGTTTTTGGCATATGGAGAGTCAGTTTTGCCAACACCATTTATTAAAGAGACTGTCGTTCTTCCAGTGAACATGTTTGGCTCCTTTATCAAAGGTAAGGTGTTTGAATGTGTTTGTAGTTGTGGTTGTATCTTTTAATCTGTTCCATTCGTCTTTGGCTCTGTTTTTATTCCAGTACCATGTTGATTTTACTACAGCTGCTTTGTAGTATAACTTCAAGTCAGGGATTGTGATGCATCCTGGCTTGACTTTGCTGCTTAGAATTGCCTTTGCTATTCTAGGTGTCTTCTGGTTCCAGATGAATTTTAGGATTCATTTCTCTAGATCTATGAGGTATGTTGATGGTATTTTGATTGAGATTGCATTGAATCTATATAACAATTTTGAAAAAATGGCCATTTTCACAATATTTATTTTTCCTGTGAGCAAAGGATGTCCTTCCACCTTCTGATATCCTCTTCAGTTTCTTTTTTCAGTGTATCATAATTTTCCCTATATAGATCTTTCACTTCTTTCATGAGGATAATTCCTAAATATTTCATGTGTTGTTGCAAATGTGAAGGATGTGGCTTCTCTTATTTCTCTCTTTGTCATCTTGTTGTTGGTGTATAGAAATGCTATTGATTTTTGAGTATTGATTTTGTATCCAACTACATTGCTGAATTTATTTATTATAACTAGGAATCTTTCAATGGAGTTTTGGGGTTCTTCTATGTAGAGTATCACGTGCAAATAATGATAATTTAACTTCCTCTTTTCCTATCTTTACCCCTTTTATTTCTCTCTCTTATCTAATTGCTCTGGCTAGTATTTCCAGTACTATATTAAGTAGGAGCAGTGATAAGGGATATCCTTGTCTTGTGCCTGATTTCAAGGTAAAGGCCTTCAGTTTTTGAGCATTTAGCATGATAATGGCTGTTGGTTTGTCACAGATGGCCTTTATCATATTGAGGTAAAGACCATCTATTTCAATTTCCTGTAAGGTTTTTATCATGAATGAATTTTGAACCTTATCAAAAGCTTTTCCTGCATCTATAGAAATGATCATGTGATTCTTACTTTTGGCTTTATTGATATGGTGGATTACATTTATTGATTTATGTTTGTTGAACCATCCCTGCATGCCTGAGATGAATCCCACTTGGTCGTGGTGTGTAACCTACTTGATGATTTGCTGCATCCTTTTTTGCATCTGTGTTCATTAGGGAGGTTGGCCTGTAGTTCTCTTTTTTACTTGGGTCTTTCTCAGGTTTTGTTAGTAGAGTAATATTTGCTTCCAGGAATGACTTAGGCAAGATGGCTTCTCTTTCAATTTCATTGAAGAGTTTGAGGAGTGTTGGCATTAAGTCTTCTTTATATTTCTTACAGAATTCTGCAGTGAATCCATCTGGGCCTGGGTTCTTCTTTGTAGGGAAGGATTTAATTACATTTTCTATTTCATTAATAGAGATTGGGTTATTCAGCAGTTTTACATCTTCTTGACCTAGCTTTGGTACTTCATATGTTTCTAGGAATCTGGCAATCTCTTCTGTATTATCAAACCTATGAGAATAGAGGTTTTTTGAAATAGGTAATGATGATCTTCTGTATTTCTGCAGTCTCTAGTGATTTTGCCTTTTTCATTCTTTATTGTGTGAATTTGAGCTTTTTCTTCTCTTTTTTGAGGTTAGCTAGGAGCTTATCAATTTTATTTATTCTTTCAAAGTACCAACTCTTTGATTCATTGATTCTTTGGATTGTTTTCTTAGTCTCTATTGAATTAATTTCTGCTCTATTTTTATAATTTCCTCCCTTCTTTTGGCTTTGGGCTTTGCTTGCTCTTCTTTTTCTAGATGTTTGAGGTGTAGTGTCAGGTTATTTATTTGTACTTGTTCTGTTTTCCTGATGTGGGAGCTCAGTTCAATAAAATTTCCACTGAGGACTGTTTCCATTGCATCCCACAGATTCCAGTAACTTGTATTTGTATTTATTTTTTGCTTTTAGGTATTGTTTAATTTCTTCTTCTATTTCCCTT